AACAACCGCGAAACCTTATTTCACACAAACGACTATTGACGGGTTTCCCATCTATCAGTCAGGTTTTAGCTTTATCGTTTAGAACGATTCCTATACCATGCTGCCTCAGTGAGCGGGTTTCATCGGCTCCTGATGTACGAAGGAAATGCCTGAGGACCCGGGGCATTCAAGCAGCTTACGATACTACGATTTTGAATTAGTGTATCCGATGCGCAGCAGACTTAAATTTCCAAACACTTTATTGTACGCCCAAGACACCTTTCCATCAACCTTCATCAGAGTTCTCACGGTGGTCCCCAGATTCAAGGGCTACCGAATCTGGACTTTATTTACTGGTAAACTACTTAGTATTATTTGGTAACGAACTTTTGCGAGTGACCAACAAGTTGTTTGATGGAGTGTTACGGGTCAGAAGAAGGGACAAAGGGAGAGAGTTGGGTATAGAAGACAAATAGTAAAGCCGACGTTGGATGTTCTAGCAGCAGCCGACTACCCACCTCGCTCGATGCAATGGGCAGTGCGGTCCTGATCATCCTGCGCAACGAACGATGCAGTATGGAATTTTTTATAGTTTGCTAATGAATTGGGGTTTTTATGGACGGGTACTGTTCGGGAGTCCCACCACTAGACACGAGCACGATTAAGGTTCTGAACCAAAGAGTTCGGTCCTGATAGGAACTTAATTGCAAGGCAGCGGGTAAAGCGGAGTGGAGGCTTATTTACTTGGATCAATTGCTTCTCCATCATTTGTTAATGACTGAGATGCCAACTCTAGTCGATCCCCAAACCAGGAGATTAGACGCTGTCTGGCCCCTACTCTTTCATCTTCCAAGCATGATTAGATCCTCGCCGTAAAAAAGTCATCCTGTGTAGCTCGTTTGGTTACAGAGATGTACAAACCACGTCAAGGTGCAGAAACTACGTATTTCCCTGATGTCAACATTCTTCAAACACGCCTTTGTTGAACAGCTTTACTGAGGAAGATGAGTAAAATCTGATTCAAATTAGCTAGTCGAATGTTATGAGCTAGCCTTGAATATTTTATTAGGAATATCAAGCGCACCATCTTCAAACACGTAGACGAGTAGGATTAAGGGTAATCACTACTGAATTCAGAATACATATCGAGGAAAGCACACTTGAAAAATGTCCAAAATCTCGGTTATAATTCCTCGACCGTCATAAAATGCGTGATATATTTCTCGAACGCTTAGACATTTGGTTCGAGGATCGCATTTCCATAAAAGTGCCATTTTTTATTGAATGAACTTATTATTATTATTATTAAGACAGCCTCTAACATCGTATCTCACAAAAGTTGCCACACAGCCTTCCCAAATTGTCACAGTCCCAAAAAGTAGAACAAAATCAACCGAGCAACAAAGAGTCTTGATTGAAAACAGAGTTACTGTGACCCTGTACTTGCGCATGTGTAGCTGAACAGTAATTACTGATCGACACTCGATGCTCAAGGTGCATATACAAATACCAAGCCAGACTTTGACGCAGTCACGGTGACGTTGAAGCACGGACAAACATTCGTCCCCATCTAAATAATACAGAACAATTTCAAGCAAAAGTACGCTTTATGCACCCAGAGGGTGCACTTCCAGCGATTTTTTTCACGATAATACAGTGGAATTGAGGGGGATGGCATCCGAGTGTGAATAGGTTAATTTAAAAACGACAAACTGCATGCAGGAAGACGATAGTGACAGGTAAAAAAAGAGTAAATAAACTTAATCCTTGACACTGGAAAGCCCTTTCGCTGGCTCTACTGTCACAAACATCTTTATTTGAAGCACATTCCCTATTCCTTGTAACGAGTCTGCTTGATAATATTATCAAAAGTAAAGCAAGACCGTCTACCGTTACAAGTGATTACCTCGCATGATATACCTATTAGGCAGAAGCGAACTGGTGGAGATTTTGGCGAGTTTGGACTCTTTTATTTCGTCTCACACTTGATGGACACGTTTAGTGACAACAGCAGAGTGGAATTCGCTTCAGACAACTGGAAACAAAGTATCACTGCATGAGATCGGCTCAGGGACAAGATGGATTTCTGAAATAGGTAATAACTAATCAATAAATGAACGCAGACCAACGCGAAAAAAGCCAGTTAGTAAAACTTCCAGAAGAGTTTTGCATAGGTCTATATTAGCGGATATTGTAGTCCGTACTTCATTCTTATAATTAACCGTTTACCGAACCGGCTTCGAAAAAATAGTACGTGTATCTTAGACGAGTCAAACGTTGACCCAGTGTCATAATCGCTTGCACTTTTTCCATTCCCAATTTCCCACATGGCGCATCATTCCACAATTGATTCTCTGCCAACACTTAAGCAGCATCGAATTCAGAGCTTATCTGTTTCCTATGCCGAGCCGAAAGTCACACGACTGATCGGGTTCATTTATCGATTGATAGTTCAGCCGCAACAAAGGACCGGGTGCTTACCCAGCAAACCCGAGCGAGAAACCATACCTTGTTTACAACCGCGAGTCTTAGACAGGCCCAGTGAGCTTTGACTGTACATCAGGCGTGCCTTCACCACACGGATAGACTATACGGGACAAAAAGAGTATCACAAAAAGTACAAGACAATGTGAAACGATGGGGTAATCGCACTATCCACATAGCAATATGACATCTTAAATTTAAAAAGGTATAGTTCACGTTATTGAGGGGGTATGCCGTGTGCAGAATACAGTAGGCAAACGGTCTTTTAAAGCCAATCGCCAATGTATATCAATACTGCCGTTTTTTGCTTTCTCAAATAGATGAGAGCATCCTAAGCAAATGATGGGAACGATGATGTGTGCTGCGGCAGTCATTGTCTAACTCGTATCAAGTTTGCCGCATTTTATGGCACAAGAAGTTTGGGTCTGATTGTGATGTGCAATCAGCAGCGACCGGAAACAGTACATTTTCCGGTGGCAACACAGGTATCCTAAGGCGAGCTCAGGCAGAACGGGAGTCTACAACAGAGTGAAAGAACTGAGTGTTGTTGAAAAAATGTCACATTTTGAGCTCATACACGACAGCTCTTTCGGCACGAACGAATCAGTTGTAAATCCAGATACAAAAAAGAAAAGTCACAGAGGTAATACAAATGTGTATCAGGAGAAATTCAGTCACACTTGAGGGGAAACGGAAATATGTACTGCGTCCAAGAGCATTTCACAGGACCATAAAATAGTAGTCCTCAAATTGCACGAGGGGATTTAACAAAACGGAATCCCATCGATCGCAGACCCTGATAAAATTGAACAGCGGTGCCATACACTTCAGAGGAGGCTGTCTAAGATGGGTCATTATATATACACAGCATGAGCGACGGGCCAAATATGAAGAGATACGCTAGACGACTTTGTACCGACCACGTGAAGCAGAGCTGCTGGCCTGAAGTGGATAAAACAGAAGGGAAGAAAGAAAAACGATAATAGTTTAAAAGATCAAAGCGAAATGAAACTTAACATGGGATGTTTATTCTTGCACAGAACAGAGATGAATGAAGTCGAGCAACCAGAGAAACAGAATCCGAAAATAATCCAGGAATTGCAAAATGCTGCTCCAAGTTTCAGCCGAGTTTCTTCGATAGTGAGCGAAAAATCCATGACACTTAACGATCACGCAAAAAGCATTGCGTTACGCCGAACTTAGCAGCTCAACAACCTGGTGCCGTTTTCAGAATTTCGGTGTACACGGTGCACAAGTCCACCGTGGCTCTATTGCAGTCGGATAGAATATTTCGAATAATGTGAAGTAGCTTCTGCATGGTCGGGCATCTCCACTTAGCTCAACGGAAAAAAGGTGGGACAAACACTCCACCCACTCAATGGAGTGGTTAGAGTGGTACATTTTACTCGTATACAACAGCGTGCAACCCAGGTGCATAGGTTCTTGTCAGAAGAATGTGCTCCAAATCGGCAATCAAATATATAATTGGAATGCTTCAGGAAATTATTATGATGGTATGATACTAAGCTCAAGTGAATTCTCTACCACCACACGTTGTTTCTATGCTCACAATTGATTCCTTCAAGTACAAACTGAATGAAGCTTTGACAATTCTTAAATTTCAACATCCGTAGCAGTGCGAGAAACAAGGAAAAATTGTGACATTCGTCTATTTTCTATGAACTGAATCGAATCAGCTACGCTAAACCCTATGAGACTAGAAAAGCAACCGCTTGTATTTCCCATAATAAAACTGTGACTTTGGCATTAGTCACTAGAGAAGAGAAGGCGCGATATAGCAGCCAACCACTCTGTATTGAATTTTCGTTGCTCGTGAAAAACAAGTCACAGTTGTCAGTCAGTGCAACGTGGACTTAACGCACGATGACAAAACACATTTGGTCTGAAAGCAATAAGTTGAATGACAAAAGTCATGGAAGTTAACCATTATGTCAATTCCGCATGAGTGGACCCATCCGATTACAACATCGCAATCCCATGGAAAAATTTGAATCTGAGGAAGGAAACACGAGACAGCAAGTGTGGTATGGACGAATAACTATGCGGGCTTTAAGACACAGACATTTTCCCCTGACTTCTCAAATCTGCCCTAGGCACTGACTTCCTCTCCCTGGATCCATTGGTTCCTACTTTGAACCCATCCGGTTTGAAGAAAACGTTCTGTGCATTTTTTAACAGTCGAAGCGAACCGCGTTTTGTTTTTTCGGAATCCGACTGGAATTCTTAACATGTTTTCTGAACACTCAGACGAAATGTGTTTTGTCATCGTGCGTTAAGTCCACCTTGCACTGGCTGACAACTGTGACTTGTTTTTCACGAACAGCGAAAATTCAACACAAAGTGGTTGGCTCACACTACCACAGACACAAACGATTCAGGAGGGTGTGTGGACAGGCTTGTGAGTTGTGATCACGCTTTGCGATTTGACGGTTTCAGCGGGTAAGCGTAAAATTCTACTCAGTTGTGTGTTTCCGACTTAGTGAATCACATGGTACATTTCGAGGGTAAGATAAAGAGACGAATCATTACATATCTCAGTGAGATGAAAAACACCATAGGTAGGCCACAGAATCATAAAGTTCTGTTGAACTTATAAGAAAAGGCGTGCCTCATCAGGTTGGTGTACTGGTAAACAAGGATCTGGTCACGAGAAATATTGGATAGTGAACCACATGAGGCCACAACAGGTTCAGGGGAATATTAAAGTGGATAATGGTAAAGCCATCTGCTGACACAAAAACTCATAAACGATTCCGTTGACGTCATCACTAAGTTTATTCGTATTCTTTCGTGATCTCAAAGAACATGTTCGCTTGTAACCTTCTTCGATTTTATTGAGTAAACTGTGTGAATCAAAAACCGGTTGCAATGTGGTTTTTATTCCCTTCGTTGATCGAGTTAAATTTTTGTAGTGAGACGAGTAGCGCTTCGTAAACATGCGCACCAGGGGTTAAACTAAGCTGCACGCTAGCGGACGCATAACAGATTGGAGGTAGGAGGATACCTTCGGTAAAGGAGATTAATTGCGAACATGTGACATACCACAACGGATAAGCAGTGGTGACAACAGCTGTGTCATTATCAGGGCGTGGTGTGCTTAAGGTCGATCTTTCTGTTCCCGTTTGAAACCGCAAACCCAAATATATGTAAACAGTTATTGACCCTCTTCAATTCCCAATCAAGGGATCATGATCTCTTGGCATCTCAACGTACACGAGGTATGTGCACCACTCTACTCACAAACAACAGTTCTTCACGTTGATTAGATGAAGAAGTTTGTTGATAGTCATAAACTTCAGATGGAATCTCACAGAGGGCTTCCCTTTTTCATTTGGAACAACCAGAAAGTGCAATACTATTCATGGGATTCACTGAAGCTTACTACATGGTACGCTATAACACTATGTTAATTCACATTTAGCCGAAATGGTGGAAGTCACAAGAGCTGACTCAATACTCCCAACACATTACAATAACACGTAATCTTTAGGCAGTCAAAAAGGGAACTAACGAAGTATACCAAGTGATCAGTTTCAGTTGACACTGTTATCTTTTGGAAGACCAATAAAAAAGAACAAAATGCAGATGTAAAACGTTGAGAGCACTATGAAGACAAAAATAAAGAATGAAGGTGAATAAGGCGTGCACAGATGCACGAGTGCAACTGTTTGCGACACAGTCATTTCACCGATTGCTTCTAACCGTTACTTTGATTGGCTACGTGGTTCCCAATCAGGAAGCCCAGTGCGGCCGAGTTATCTGGTTCGAATTTTTATTCTTACATTCCAGCTCATATGAGCAGTTTTTCTGTCTTTCTTTCAACTGATGCCTATCTAGGCAAGCATAGCACGTGTAGTACACGTTTCACTCGTTGCAATCTATGCAAATCACATTGGTGTGTTACCGCGATTGTCTAATCGTTTTCTCTGAACCTCGTTCACCCACAGCCTGTGTTCATTTTGCCTCTGCAATGGTCAATCGCCTGTACCATATGGCAGGATATGGTTGATGCACATTGTCGGTATTCTATAGATGGCATAACACTTGATATGAAGAGCCCACTGAACTAATATGATTGGATGATAAATCACTCGTTTTGTTACAAACCAACACATGCTATGAATTCATTCACATAAAAAGAAAACGGAGATGCAATTAATCCGAAACTCACAGATTTCAACATTTCATCTTTGATAACACGCATAATCTCCTTTTTGGCCACTGCAATTTGACGCTCATTGACGGCCTCTATACACAAGTACAACGGACGATCATCCGTACCCTCGGGCACATATGTGCGCGCCTTGGATGGGGGCATATAAACTCCACGTACCGAGACACCAACATCACAATAGTCGTTCAAATGATTGAGCATCTCACGACCAGTAACGCGCCAGCGAACATTTTGTGGAAAGTCGTTAATGACCAGTTCCTCTTCATATCTGAAAAAAAAGAAATATTCACGGTTTTATGTATGCAAAACGGGGACAGGCGACTTTTAAGATGGCAGCAGTCATTCTTATCAAAAGCAAGCGAGAGCTAACATAAAAAAAGTTAGCTCAAAAATACGGTATTGTAGAGGTCAGTGAAGATCGAAATGCTCTTTGGCAGAGCGTGCTGCGGTAGAATGATAAGCAACGGGAAACATCAAAAGGAGAAAACCAATTGAAAGATATACAACTATTGAAAAACCATATTTTGCACTGGTGATGGCCAAGTCTATCCAAACGCCATGTTCTGTTGATGAGTTAGCCCGATGTGTACAATAAACCCAATCAAGGAATGGTTTTTAACATGTGATGGACTTTGTGCGATGACGAATGAAGAGCACTGGACAACTGTTTCTCCGATGGCCTCAGTATGGTCGGGAAGGGATGTCTAGGGTTGCGGTTGGTCACCCTCCCTTGCACCTCATGAAATGCTCCTATATGACCGAGCGTCTCAAACAGCTTCTGCTGAGGAAGCCCTACCCACTGCCTTCTCGTGGCGATGTTTTTCCCACACCAAAGTGAGAGGACGAAAAGCCGAAATCCGGGGCTATAACCGAGCTGGTGAACCACTGGCAGCTCACCTAGGGGAGATGTCTAAAAACCCTGATTCCAAACCAAACACGAGGCGTACGAACCATCCACACCTGTATGGTCGTAACGGGGGTCACCGGCTTGATTGGGCACCTTGGACGTTTGACTTCATCCGAAGGGCGTACGATCCGATGAACCGGA